ACAGGGCCTCCTAGGCAATCAGGAATAAAGAAACTTGGGTGGCTTTCTGGCTGAAAGTCCCCATCCCTCCCTCAATAGCTTGACTGAATCCTCTGGGCATTTTTGAGCACTGCCCTGTGTGGGAAGAGGTGTGGTTCAGGGGGCAGCTGTCAGCCTGGGGGCGGTCTGGACCTTCCACATCTTCCATACCATGTGCGTATCACCAGCTCTGCCCTGGTCACCCTGTCTCAGGGGTCTGCTGTCTCCTGAGGTCCAGAAGCAGAAAGCTTAAATGTCCATCATCAGGGGACTGGCTAAATAAAAGTACCATAGTTACATGATGGCATAGGTATATCTGCTGAGAAAACTGAGCAAGATTTCTGTATTACCAATGTGGGAAGAGATTTTTTAAATGGTATAAAAACTCAGTTGCTGAATAACAAGTATAGCATGGCTGCATTTTTTTAAAGTGCACCCAAACACCACTTTTTTCAGTGGGTACATTTATATGTGTGCATAACCACTGTCTATAAACTGGAAAGGGCACCGCAGAGAGAGACCACATCTCACTTGTCTCTGATTCATCAGGGGCTAGGCCAGAGGCTGCTGCACAGCAGGTGCTCAGTACCAGGGGGCCTTGCCCTGGAGTGATGGACCTGGGCATCTCCCCAGGGTCTCCGGGGGATTCCTCTTACTCTGGCTCCCCCTCCCTTCCCCACCCATCCCACACCCAGTGAAGCCCAGAACCCACAGCTCCTGGCTTATCCACTCCCTCCCCAGACCCAGATTCAGTCCCCACTCTGTTCCTCTGCTCTCCTGGGGACTGGGCCGTGAGTGACACAGTGGGGCCAGTGTGTGTGTGTGTGTGTGTGTGTGTGTGTGTGTGTGTGTGTGTGTGTGTTGGGGGAGTGGACTGCTTATCAGGATCTGGGGTTTGAACCCAGGGTGCAAGCCCTAGGCCAGTCATATAACATTCCTACTTTGGTCTTGGGTTCTCTGCTTCCAAATGAGAGGGAACACTGGGTACTCACTGGCCTGATGGCTAATTCACCACGCTGAGAGCTGAGAGAGGAAACAAGGGTGCTGGGAAGGCACTCGCCTTGGCCTGCTGTGGGAAGCCTGCCCGCTTTCTGAGGGGACAAGTCTTTAAGTCCCTGTCTTAGTCAGCTCGGGCTGCTATCACAAAACACCACAGGCTGCAGGGCTTAAACGGAAGACATTTATTTCTCTCAGTTCTGGAGTCTGGGAAGTCCAAGATTGACGTGCCAACAGACTCCGCTCTTGGTGAAGCCTTCTTCCTAGCTTGCAGATGACCACTTTCTTTACGCTGTGTCATTACACGGTGGAAAGAGGCGAACTCTTGTCTTTTCTTCTTCTATGTGGACAGTAATTCCATCATGGAAGTTCCATCTTCAGGGCCTCACCTAAACTGAACTGCTTTTCAAAGGCCCCACCTCCAAATGCTGTCATATTGGAAGTTAGAGCTTCAGCATATGAATTTCTGGAGGACACAAATGTTCAGTCCATAACAGTCTGCCCCTGGACCCTCGAAATTCAGGCCCATTTTGCATGCAAAATACATGCATTCCATCCTAACAACCACAAAAGTCTTACTTTGTTTCGGCTTCAACTTTAAAGTCTGATGTCCAATCTCATATAAATACCATCTAAGTCAGGTATGGGGGAGACCTGGAGGTGTGATTCATCTTGAAACAAAATTCTTCTCCAAGTGCGAAGTCATGAAACCAGACAAGTCAAGTGCTTCCAAAATGCAGTGGTGGGGCAAGCATAGGATAGACATTTCCATTCCAAAAGGGAGAAATCAGAAGGAAGAGGGGAGTGCTGGTCCCCAGGGAGTCTAAAACCTGGCAAGGTAAATACCATTCATCTTAAGGCTCACGAACAATCCTCTTTGGTTCAAAGGTCTGCCTTCTGGCCCACTCTCTGGTGGTCTTGCCTGCAGTATTCATTGAGTCAGGGATTGTGGGACCCCCTTCCCCTGCAGCACTGCCCCCAAAAGGCTCTGCATAGCCTCGGTCTGGCCTGCTGAAATCGAGGCAATGGCCCCCCACTGAAACTGAGGGGCAGCTCTGATGATCAATCACTGAATCACCTTCAGAGTCATTCTTTTCTTGTCTTGACGAATAGTGCATGTTCACAGCTAATCAGACATGCAGTCACTCCTGTAGGATCTAACGAGTCTGACAGCCTTCCTTCATTCCATTCTGTCTTCATCCCCTTCAGCTCAAACTGGCAGTGTTTCTGCTGGGTGGCTGTTGGGTCCACGGTTCACACCCTTACTAATCTCCTTATCAACTTAGTTGTCTGGCCATTCTCTTGGTGTTCTCTTCTGAACATGCTTTCTTACTTTTTGTAATATAGAAAGGGGGCTGAGAATTTCCCAAATCTTGAAGTTCTGGTTCCTTTATGCTTAATGATTCCTTCTTCAATTCATCTTTCTCCTTTCACATTTTACTAGAGGCAGTCAGAAGAACCAAGCCACTTCTTCAGCACTTTGCTTAGAAACCTTCTCAACTAAATATAAAATGCCATCATTCCCAAGTTCTATCTCCCCCAAAATACTAGAACATGAACACAGTTCAGCCAAGTTCCTTGCTACTTTTTAACAGGATCATCTTTTCTCCATCGTTCACTGATGTTCCTCATTTCCATCTGAAACCTCACCAGAACCACCCTTAGAGTCTATATTTCTCGCATGTACCTCAGACCTCCAGCCTCTATGCATTGCCCAGTTCCAAAGCTGCTTCCACATTTTTTAGATATTTTGTATAGCAGCACCATACTGCTTGGTACCACTGTCTGTCTCAGTCAGCTTGGGCTGCTCTATCAAAATACCAGAGACTGGGGAGGGCTTAAACAACAGACATTTATTTCTCAAAATTCTGGAAGCTGGAAAATCCAAGATCAAGGTGCTGGCAGATTTGGAGGGCTGTCTTCCTGGCTTACAGACAGCTGCCACTAGACACACATTTTGTCCTCACATGGCAGAAAGACAGAGGTAACTTTGGTCTGTCTTCCTATTGTTATAAAGACATTAATCCCATCATTGGGGCCCAACCATCATGACCTCGTCTAAACCTAGTGCCTCCCAAAGGCCCAGCTCCACCTGTCATTGTGCTGGGGTTAGGGCTCAACATGCAAATTTCAGGGAGATAGAAATGTGCTCCTGTTTGTAGAGAAGAGGCTTCAAAGGCAGAGTGTTTGTGTATTTGTGTTTGTGGGGCAATCTCTCACACAGACCTCTGTGCAAATGAGGAGTACCAGACTGTCTGAGTAGAAGCTTCTGACAAGCTGAAGAGGCAGAGAATGGATGCAGCTGATCAGAGGGAGGAAGCCCACTCTGGGTCATCAGGGCTGACCCTGAAGCACAGGCTCATTTAGGCAGATGCACAGCCATCCACTGTCTTTTCAGGGTAGACCCTGGTGGACACAGGGCAAGTGCTAGGGACCCAGAGCTGAAATAGAATGTCTTGTCCTCTGGACTCATAGCTGTGGAGGAGACAGGTAGTCAATTCAAAACTTTCACCTAATCTCCCATTTTGCATGTGCTGCTTCTGGTCTCAGGCACCCTGCATTCCCTCTCTTCCAGTCTCTTGGCTGCTCCTGTCCATCTCTCAGGTCTGCGTAGGTGTGTGTCCCACTGGGTGACTTGCTTTGGTTCCCCAACTCTGGGTTCTAAGCCTTTAGGGCTCCCAGAACATTAGCAACTCCCACCTATCAATGTTCAGCACTCCAAGCTGGCACTCTTGTTTGCTTGTCTGAGGGCAAGACCGTGAATTACAGTATCCCTGGGACCCACTGTAGCTTGCTGTTCTGCAGGCAGGGGGTCCTGTGAATTATTGAGAGAATGAGTAATTAAACACTGTGGCGAATGGCTGGCCCCTGAGTCAGGTACATCTGGACAGATCTGCCTAAGAATGATGGTTGGAAACGTGTTGGAGAGTTGAAAAACAACAGATGAGGTCACTGCAATGCAAAATACACCTGCCCACTTGATGGACTAACAACTGGTTATTTCTTGCTCCAAAAGCCCCATCCCAGTCTTTCTGGGTTTCTGAGATTTGCAGTGTCCAAGGCCGGGCTCTAGCTAGAGAGGCATAAAGGTCACGAGTGCTAGACTAGCCAGGTTTGGATCTAGCTCCACCACTGACTCGTTTGCAAGTCAGTGCACGTAACAGCTGCTCTCTGCCTCAGTTTCCCCACTTGTGCAACAGGGGAGGAGTAGCACGCATTTCACAGGGTTACCCTGAGGATTAAATGGGAGAAGTCTTACAAAGTCTGAGGGGTGGTAAATGTCTATGTGCTTAGTACATGTGAGCTCTTACTATATAGGTTCTCCCACCTCCCCGGGCCCTGCACTGGTCACTCTCTAAGCGTCAGTTGACTAATCTGGGAGTGATGATAATGAGAATGATCAGATGAGAATGTAAAACTGCATCATAACTTGTTTGTATCAGTGGGAGGTTGTGGGGGCTGGGCTTTACATTCAGACTCACCCACCCAGGGGGGATTGTAGGGCGGATCCAACCAAGTCCTCCAAATGGTACAAATGGGAAGGACCACCTCTGGCCTGAGGAATTTCAGGCCCACTACGCAAAGCCCCAGCGCCCCCTGCCCTCAAGAGAGTCTGCTTTGCTTTCGTCTGGGTGGTGGGGAGGCCTACGGAACGTTCTGGTGACCCGGGAGGCCCGCGGGAGGGCGAGGGGTCCCCACAGTTGGGCGGCGGGCCCATTGGCCCTTGGACATCTCAACTACGCTCCGGTTATTTCAGGAAAAATTAAGAAAATATATCATAGAGGAGGCGGCCACCGGGACGGGAGCCACTTATCTCCTGGCCGGCTTCCGGCTCTGATAACGCGCCCGGCTGCTCGGGGTGCGGCGGGCACCCCGAGCAGCCCCGGTGCCAGGTCCGGGGGCGCCTCCGCTTGGCCCCCGTCCCTCCCCGCAGCCGGGCGGCCGCGCCCCCGACCCGCCCGCGCCCCGCACGGCCCCGCGCTTACTCTGCAGACAGCGGGCTGCGGCCAGGCAGAGGGCGAGGAGCCCCAGGGAGACGCCGCGGCCCTTCCTCCGGCGGCTGGGCGCAGGCCTCATGAGCGAGCCCCGGGCGGCGCGGGCCGGGCATGGGCTCCCCGGGCGGCGCGGCGCGGCGCGGGTCCGGCTGTGCGCTGTGGCCGCCGCCGCCCCTGGGCCCGCCTCGCCTCCCCTCCTCCTTTGGCTCCTGCAGGTCCTCCAGGGCCAGATGCAGATGAGCCGGTCGTACTCTGGTTGAACCAGTTCCAAGGAGAGGGGGAAAAGAGGAAGGAGAGACCGAGAGGGGAGAGAGAGAGGAAGGCAGCGGGCAGGCACACACTCGGAGGTAAACAGTGACAAGCAGCGCGCCGTCTCCTTCCGTTCACACCCACTTTACTGGTGTTGGTTCAAGATTCAGATGGATGCTGGGTGGCAACACGGGGAAAATACTAGCCTTTGCCTGAGGACCTACCTAATGGCTCCCTGGGCAAGGAAACTGTTAAACTGCCTAGGGTGAGAAGGGTACAAAGGGGGGTACAAAGGAGCCTCAGGCTGCTCAGGTGGAGTCCCTGGACATCTGTCCAGAGTCTACTCCTCACCCACCCATCCACCATCCACCCACCCATCCACCCATCCAGAATCCAGCCACCTGCACATCCACACACGCACGCATGCAACCATTCATGCATCCAAGTGCTCATGAGAGCCTACTTATTTGCACAGGGCCTGGCACATGGTAGATACTCAGAGAACATGTGGAATGAAGCTGAACACTGGGCTAGGCATTAAAATACAATCATGGACAAGATAGACATGAATACCTCTTTGGAAACCCTAGCAAGGAGTGGGTGCCAGAAGAATGAGCAATTGCTCTACAGTGCACGTTTTGCTTTGGTAATGGAGGCTCAGGCTGCTATGGGGCCTCAGAGCAAGAGTAAGTGACTCCAGTGGGAGGAGGAACACAGGCTGGGTGCAGAATGAAGATGGGTCCTAGCCAGTCAAGAAATTCTGTCCAGTTTGTTTAACCTAGACTGCCTAGCCTCCCTTGTACCTGGAGGTAGAAGTGGGATCCAGTGCTGGCCAGTGATGTTTAAGGGAAATTCTCTTGGGGTGTTTCTGGGAAAGTTTCACTTTCCTGATAGAAGAGACAAGGCTAGTGCTGCCCCTCCCCCTGAAGACACCTGACATTTAGATCTGTGGCACCTGTCTCACATCCATGAGGTCATGCAGGTGAGGATGAAACCGTCATGCTAAGGTAGGCTGGTAGCACAAAAAGATGGGAAGATACGGAAGACCATGGCAGTCCATCATAGTTTCCTGTCTCTTCCTTCTGGTTCCTCAGGGAGACTCTTTGCCAGCTCTGTGGATTCTTGGTGAGGCTGACAGAGGTGGCACCCTGCCGACTGCCCCCAGGCGGGCTTGTGAACCAGGCTGACAGGTACCCTCCTCATCATCCCTAGTGTTTGGTTCAGGGATGAGCGGATGGGGCCCCCAGAGTCTTCCCTGGGAATGATACATGGCCATTTCTGGGATTGCTAAAATCAGAGGATACGAACCTAGGAACACTGGGCATCATCTTGCCCGCCACAAGGAGAATGAAGCCCAAGATGCCACAGACTGAGCTGTGAGCCATCAAGAGAGAGCGAGTCCTCATGACTTAGTTTGAGCTCTGTGATTCTGCACACTTCTGGTGCTAGTTATGAGCAAATAAATATGCTTTTCTGCTTCAGAAAATTTAAGTTGGACTTCTGTGACATAAAATTGAGGAAGTTCTGACTCATACACGTGGTCTCTTTGCCATTTTTCTGTTTTCCTTATTCCATGTAAGGTGATTCAGGAATCACTTGCATTCATTTTCTTATTCTTCAGACTTTTCTCAGACCTTGCCCTGTGCCAGGCCATGCGCTAGGCCTTGCAGCTCCAAAGAGGGCTAACTCATGGCTCCTAGTCCCAGGAAGCCTGCAAGCCAGTGGAGACAGAATGATCCAGATCACCGAAGGCCCCCAGGTATTCGGGCTTGCTTCTTAGGCTAGCGCAAGGGGACACTGGCTGCTCTCTGCTGTCGGGCTGGCACTTGGCCCATGGTAGGGCGCTTGGTGACCATTTGTTAAATGAATAGATGAATGAAAAAAACTGGAGTCTGAGAGATATAAGAGAGATGGAGGAATATCGTGAGGTAAAGAGCTGATAAAGGCCAGAATGACTGAGCAACGTGGAGCTCATGTCCTGCCTCTGTGTCCTACCAGTTCTCTGGCCATGGAGAAGGCACATCAACTCTCCGGACCTCTGAGGGGCTGGACTGGACCAAAATGGTAAATTCTGCACATTAGAGAAAAGGCACCATGGCCTGGGTCTCACTTCAGTTCCACCGAATCAGGTTTTCTGGGGGTGGGGCCCTGGCATTAGTGTTTTTGAAAGATTACTTTAGATTAGTTGGAAGCTTCTTACGGTCATAGCAGATGACACTTAGATCTGAATTTATCACACCCGTTCTTTTAGAGCAGGATTCCATAGACGGGAGGAGGGAGACAGCATGAGTCCATTTAGGCCATGATTACATTGACCATTTCTTTCTTTCTTTCTCTCCTCCTTGTCTTTCTCTTTCTTTCTCCCTCCCTCCCTCCATCTCTCTCCTGTTACCCTTCCTTCCTCCCTCTCTCTCTCTCTTTCTCTTTTTTTGGCATGTCTTTCTGACGTATCAGTCTAGCTGAGCCTAGTAGGGGATAAGGAGAAAGATGAGAAAAACAGATCGGGATTCAGATTTCAAGGGTCTATATACTGAATCCTGAGTATGTTTGTTTCTGCTAAAAGGACTTAATTCAAGACTCACACTTAATATGAAATGTTGGCTTCTCCTTTGCAATCCTTGGCATATACTATAGTCCTCAGGCATTTGGTAACTCTTATCACCAATTAACCACTCTGGAAAAAACCAAAGCCCACCAGCGTTTATATTCTCAAAACCTTAGGAGCCATTCTTTACCTCCAGGAGACACCGATGGTGTGTGTTTACAGTGTCCCAGCTTTATGACAGCTGTATATCTCTACACAGTTCCCATTTTTGAGGACAGTACTGATTTTACATACATTGTTACATACATACTTGTTCCTGTAAGTACATATGAATTTGTGAGACCATATGTCTTGGTGTTTCTTTCTGCAAAACTGATCACCACATTCACGAACCTGTAAATTCTTGCTTCTTTCACCTCTTTTGAGAATATGCTTGCCATTTATTATGTATGTATGTAGTTTCAGTGCCAGGCAGATGGCTGAACCAGGAGGGGATTGCGGAGAAGGCTACAGTGTGGAAGACCTATGTAAATCTGTGTTGAAATTGATTCCTTTGACCTGGGCTTTTATGGCTCCATATACTGTCCAAAGACTCTTAGGCTGAGGTGGTTTGTGTTGTCCCTATTACCCTGGAGCCACCCAGAGGCCAAGCCTACTAAAGGGCAGCTCCAAATTGGAAAGTCTCTTCCCGCTAACTTGGCTGTCCACACTGCCTGTACCATGCAGCCTGCGTGTAGCCTCTGTGATCACAAGTCATGGTGACTGATGCAGGCAAGGCTTATCCCCTATTAGGCTACAGTGCCCTTACGGGTGAGCGCCAGCACTTACTCTCTTAGTAGCCCAACCGAATGATAAGAGAGGGGCTGGGCGCACGCTGGGAAAGAATGGTGGCCCTTGAGTCAGACAGACCCAGGAAAAGCCCAGCCCTTCCACTCCTGACTGTGTAACCTCAGGCAAGACCTCAGGCATCCTTCAGGGCAGTTTTCTTAGCTGCAAAATGGGATTCTGATATTACTACCCAATAGGTGAGGGTCAGACAAGACACAAGTATGAAGTGGGATGGGTGCATGGAAAACCCTTGACCCATGTCACTTATCATCACAGTGTCCGGCTCAGCGCCTTGCCTAATAGGCGCTCAGTAGCTGAATAAATCTCCCTGGTGTTTTCATGCTTTTTAGTCTTGGGCTCTAAGATTATACTTCAAAAGGGCTGAGAGCATTTCTTTCAGATTTTCTACGGGCTGCCTCTTCCTACAGAATGCTGGGCATAGAGAAGGTATTCAATAAATATGCAGTGGCGGCTGGCAAAAGTCTAACTTGAATTCTGGTTCTAGCAGGGCCATTAAGGATGTGACTTCATGTCTCTGGGTCTCAGTTCCTTCATTGGAAAAAAAGAGGGGTTAGACCTTGGGTACATGGTCTGGAGCAAATGTCATGAGCTTGAACTCAGCACATGGTCTACAGGACACTTACAGTCAAACATAACAAAATAAACAAGAAAATTAGAAAAACAAACAAGTGCTCCTGAGTTAAATGGCATCTGTGAGCTAGTTGGCCAGTAAGGTCTGACACTGCCATTATGTACCTGGATGGGCTGGGTATCCTGTGTACGGGGCGGGAATTGAGCCACCGGGTGGATTTGAGTCTAATTTCAATAAATGTCAGTGAAGAGGCACCACACCATGAAGGAGTCCTGCAGGAGAAAAACGGGTGTGATGAAAATTATGAGTCATTTTTTTAAAATCACGGTTTGCCGCTGTACTCAATAAAAAGGAATGTGACCCATGCGCCTCCCAGAGGTTTCTGAGCCCTGGGACTACGTCTGAAAACATGGTGTAGGAGCAGCATGCGCCCGCAGGGAAGAGTGTTTTCTCACTGCCATTGTTTAGAATTGCCAGTGCATGGCAGTAATAAACACTTCTAGGTGGGTCTTACTCTTATTTTAAATTCTCTTTAGACTCTGCACGTCCTCATTGCATCAGGGGCCAGATGCTCCCTGCCCTGGTTTGCCATGGATTGAAGATATTCTGGGTGCCCTGCCCTTGAACTAGATCCCTTTGGTTTCTTACAGCTTGAACATCCTTCTCGTCGCTTAGTTCCCAGCCCAAATATTCTCTGCAGGAGCCGTGCCCCAACAACCTTTGCAGTCATTATCCCATGTTTTGAAATCAGCTTTTCTGAGGCTTCATTAATGTGCAGGAAACTGCATCCATTAAAGGGTACAGTTTGGTGAGTTTTGTTATAGGGATTACTCTATGAAACCACCACCACAATCAAGATACAGAGTAAGATTTTGTCACTCCAAAATTTCCTCTGTGCAGCCCATCCTTATCTCTGCCCTCAGCCCTAGGTAACCAGGGGGTTGTTTTTTGTGGAGATAGATGCATTGGCATGCTCTAGGATGACATCTAAATAGAATCATACAGCATGCAGTATTTTGTGTCTGCCTTTTCTCAGCCAGCATAATGACTTATGTAGGCTATGGAGCCCACTTTTTTGCCAAACACTAGTGTAAATGTTGCTGTGAAGGTATTTGTGAACATGACTAACATTTACAATCAGTAAAGCTGATTCTCCTCCACACTGCAGGCAGG